ATTCACACCCATGTTCTAAAATAAGCAAGGTTGCGCTCGAAGTAGTAATAAGTTATGAGATCCAAAAGATTCCCATAATCCTGGTACGGTCCACAAAAACGATACAAAAAGAAACGAGATAAAAAAAGGATAAAGCATTTGCCGTTGATCAATCCCTTTTTGGGATGCGGCACGCATTCTACTTCCATTTGTACATTCGTAGTGGCGTTTGAATGCGATGTGGCCTATACAATGACTTGCGGGGGCCAGCCGATGTACAAGTCAGTGTTTTTATCCTCCCAGACAAGTCTGGTACCAATTAACCGACCCCGGAGGGATGGAAGGCTTGGTTGGCCCGGGCGACTCACGACCCAGGATTTGATCCCCGGACCGCTCGCGTGGTAAGCGTGCCACTTGCCACTACACCACTTCCGCCCTCAAAGCATAAGCATTTAGGAAAGGGATTCGACCCGGTGAACGTAGATGAAGTATCTATACCTTTTCGTTGTCATAGCCTTCATTGAGCTCGGTGTAGATTACGCATCCATCACGCACTCACAACCAGCCTGCACTCTCTCGGAACCCTGTGTTACGAGCCTGTTAGCAAGATGCAGTATTAGAATATTGTGATCAGCCTTTTTCCTTCTGTACTTTTTTCCTAATGAAGCATAGTACAAGACCAGTCCAAGAGGTTTTGAGCAAGATGGCTTCGACCCATCTGGCTCTTCATTCTCTTCACGTCGATGACCATTTTTCTTGTGGAACGGAGAGGTTATAGTCGTTAATTTACTAGAATAGACGTGAAGAATCCGTATGTGCTGAGTAGGGGAGTCCTACTTGCGCAGGGCTTCCATGACCGTTTGCCCCCAAGCAGTCTAGGGCCTTCTTTAACCCATTCGTGACAATGGCAGCCACCGGTGGCTGCCAAAGATCTCACTCGGGCAATGGCATCCACTGTTGGCTGCCGGGTTTCAAATGGAATTTGGGAAATTTTCTTTTCTAGCGGCATCATGTACTCAAGGGAAACCTCAGTCAGTTTGACCACTCAATTTCGTGACCGTGTGAGTACGAACATCTTGCTGAAAACTGCAACCCCGCGCGCTTTCACGAAATCTTTCTCAATATACCAATTCTGTAGAAAATAAGTCGTAAAGAACTTGTTGTTCACGTTATTGCCACTTGACGCAGATATGGTGGTAACTGCAAATGTCAACGTCTTTTGGGTGAGCATATTGTGTTCTGACCAATAGAGGTCAGAACTTTGCTAAACGCCGGTGCGAGATTCGCATCTCATCGTCAGCGCTATTCTAGATTTAGCGACGAGACTAGGCGGCGTTTCTGAACAAGATTTACAAAAAACGACTTGGGCAAAGGCCGCTTGTGTTCACATTGAAGATTCTGAGTCAGACAACTTTCAGTATTTCTGAATTAGGTTAACTACCCATAACTCACACCAATCGTGGAAGCGAAGACCATATCGAACCCTCTTCAGTAGGAAAACAAACCCTGACGTGCTCGTACCTGATGATCTCGTTTCTAGGCAATTTCTTCTGCATATGTCAAAGTTGAACATATGTCGTCAGATCAAGCGAAGATCGAATTCCTCACTATCATGTCGAAGAAGGATTCGTTTGGATCAGCTTTCTTCCCGGTAAGTTCACTACATACCACGTTTTTTTATTAGTTTCTACCGAGTGACTCCTTCTGAACCGAATTTGACCCTGTCCAGTATGCTATGGATCAAGATGACATGATTATTGCGTGCAGATCAAATTGTAATCCCTGTTAGAGAGTGATTATACAGAAAGTTTGGCCCTGTTCTGACTCGCCACAAGAACCTATCGGTACATTCTTTCACGTCTTTCTGAATGTATTTTACCCGTGCGTACAATGTTGGCACGGAAATGGCGCTAGCGGTTACCAAGCCAATTATACGGTGTCTCGAAGGTATTGGGAAATTTTGCCTCTTACCTTTGAAAGCGACCTACCTAATGTGTATATGCAAAGCAGATCCGTAAGACAAGTGGCTGTTAGAAGGATATTGTTGAAAGATCATGCCTACATTCTATCGAAAACCCTTCACCACTGGCAAAGCTAGCTTTGATCGAATCAGCGCGACTGACTCGACTTCCTCGACGCCTCCTGTCGGGGTGGGTAAACAATGGTACGAGCCAAATTTTCGCACCCTATGTGCGAAGTGACCTCATTAAGGCTGATGACATAAGGGTCACAACACCACCCACACCTCTCTGTTAATCAGGTAAAACGCAATTAATTGAGGAAACAAATCGTTCATAATAATAGTTGAAAAACCAAGACCCGACGCCCGCGAGGGGACACATCCCCTCAGTCGTATGCACAAGCCCCACAGGTCCGAGGGGATATATTCCCTCGGGGTCGGACCTCGGGATTTCGGTAATGAATCCCCATACGGAGCAAATCCTGTGCTCGCATCCAGTCCAAAAGTAGTTCCACCCGCACCGGAAGCTCCGTGATCCCCCATGGGGGCACGCGCCTAAAGACATATCGAAAGGATGTCGAAAATTTCTAAACGGATCTCAATAACAGCAACGCTAGAATCACAAAAGAGAATCCGACAATAATATAAGAACTTGTCCGCATAATTCTCAAAAGCAATAAGGAATTTGCAAAAGGGCTGGGCTATAAGAGGCTTTCAAATAAGTTCGTGCGCTTTTTCTCCTGCGAAAAATGTAACTTCTGCGCATCAGTACATACTAAAATTGATTTACAAGAAGCTCATTGTTATTCCACAATGCATCAATAACCTATACCATTTATCCGGAGGAATTCCAAAGGTGAAAAGAACCACAAATTAAGTGTTGGCTTCTTCGGAAAGATTCCGCCGATTTCGATTCTCGAAT